ATTGTAAAATAATATAAAAAAAATTTTTATCAATTGTGTAACGATTTTGTGACGTATCAACGGTTCCTCCTGTTATAAAAAGGTTCTTCCATTCTATAGACGCAACAATAAATTTTTTCAGGTGATAATTAAAAAGTTTGTCCATAATCTGTTCACTTTGCCAATCTTCTACGGTACATGTTAGAGTTTGTTCATTATTGATTTCTGATTTCGTTTGTTCATGTTCAAGTCCAAATAGCGTGCATCCTGTAAATTGGGTTAATATACCAATTTGATTCCAAACTGTATTAGGGTCAGTATTACGAAAGACGTATATTTCTTGAGAATTTTGATATATTTTAACAATTGCTTCTTTATTACTAAATTCCTGAAAAAATAATGCTCGAGTTTTGCGAAAGTTATATACAAAAGAGCTTTGATATCCTTTTCCAGCATATTTCCAATTAGGATTGTTTGATTTACCGATTCCAAAAACGTTCAAATTTATTATATTCCCGATTTTAAAAGTATAAGGATGAAAATAGATATCAGTAAGTAATGCTTTACATATTTCTGAATTGTCGAATCCCATAACTAAAAGACCGTCGAATCTAGTTTTTGAAAAAAAAGCTTGTTGATAGGTAGAGGTAATCGCTTCTGATGAGCTTTTGCAGATATTACTTCGCAATGCTTCAGATTGACATATATAGCCAGGCTCAAAACCATCTTGAACTATTGTAATTATGAAATCACGCTGATTTATTGTAGTCAGAGTTTTCATACCGGGACGAACTGGATAGAGGTATGTTACATCATTATTAGTTGGGCGAGAAATCCACCAATTCTTAGCATTCGGCCCAAAATGTAAATTTTGTATGATTTCACCCTGCAATATAAGCGTAACTTTGTATTTTGACATATTATCGAGCCAGAATACGTTCAAAAAAAAAATAAATTTATGGTTGAGTAAAAAAACTTTTATGAGTGAGCAATGAGAGTTGTGAAATATTTTTAATTGACTTTTCTTTTTTTTTTAGTATAATATTGTATCATTTTATTAGTTTTGATTTATATTATTTTCAAATTTTTTATTCTTCTATTTTTTTTTTCTTTTTTCTTTTTCGTAAAGTAATGCTCATAGGTGTTGTTTCAAACATTTTAAACTTAAAATGTCTGAATTGGGGAATAATACCCACGCATTGCTTTAAAACTCTTAAAATATTTCTTAACAAATCCCGCAGTAACCCATTCGTATACGCGTAAACAAATACCCAGTAGATTAAATACTTATTTCATATAGGAGCACTCGAAATAGCATGCAGGTCGGCGCTTATCTGACATAAATAAGAAACTGCAGAAGCTTTTGAGCATATCAAGTATTCACATTTTTACATGTTGAGCATTACGGGATAATGTACACATACCGATACACGTTATTTTGAGCATACCATGCAGTATTTCGAGTACGCCTCATTTTAAGAGTTAATTTCTGGTCTAATTATTACATATAAAATCCGCTGATATTATAGACAGTTTGTGCTATTTCAAGATGTCATAGGCGTTATTTCGAAAACCGGGCACTCTTCTTAAAGGGTCTGATTTTGAAATAACGCCTATGATCGTTTTATGGGTTTATAATATGTTATTTAGCATTAATATGTATAAAAAAAACAAGTTATTCGCCATACGTAGTGATAAATTACAAGATTTATTATTTACAATATGAGAAATAAACTAAATTTATATACATCATAACAATAAAAGGATCTTTATTATAAGAACACTTATTCGCCTAACCCTAACCCAACTCTAAAAGCATCTCATCCAATAGATCAAGCATCTTTCTATATGTAGCTTGGTGATTGAAATAGTGCAAAAAGTATTAGTGATGATTTTAAATAGAAATCAATGAATCCATATCATTTCATTAACAATCTTCATAAAGGCTTATTTTGCAAACAATTAATTAATTCAAGATAAAATTATTTTACAATAAATTCATTTCTTGTGAAAATAAACTTGTCTGAATTAATCGTCTATAAAATAATTTTGCTTGTGAACTAATCATCTGTGAACAAATTTTTTTATAAAGTGTTGAAGTGGAAGGTGGTAATAAATGTAGTGAAAGGGCGAAATGGAAGGTGGAAAAATGTAATAAAGATGGAAATAGAATGGAATGGTGGTAAATAGAAAGAAGGTGGAAAAAGGTAGAAGGGAAGGAAGTGGGAAAAAGAAATTAGTGAGAAAAAGAAAGAGGTGGAATAGAAAGTGTGAATGACACGGCAGGCAGCAGCAGTAACACTTAAAACAACGAAATGGAAATTAAATAGAAATCAAAATAAATTAGTGCCATTGTTAAGATTTTTATACACATATTATTTGGAACAAGGTTGAAATGATGGTGGCAGGAACTATATAGTAGAAAGTTCAGTAGCCTAAGTAGTTGAAAAAGAATTGTAAATATACTAATTCTACATAAAATATAACAAACTTGCAATCACTATTACCATTTAGCACAGTATATAATATCCCCTGAATAATATGAGCTTGGGGCTGGGAAAAGGACGAATTTGACAAAAAATAATATTCACAAACAAATTAATTATCTCGCGAATTATCGATCGGAATCACGTAATTTTTGTGAATATTATATTTTGTCAAATTCATTTCTTTTCTCAGCACCAAGTCTATATGTTACCACATGTAATAAGTACATAGCATCATTAGTGAAATTTCTGGATCCATGAATAGTATCCGATACTATTCCAGTATCTATAAAGTTCTTACCTCGGGCACTGTATTTAGCGCAAATAGTTTTACTTCTATAATAATCTAAACTATACATTTGACATTGACTACTTGGTTGGCACTTCTTTTAATAGCCATTAAAAAAAGGCTAATTAGACTAGTATCAAACTCTTACATATAACAGCCTGAAAAAAGATAACATACAGTACCAAATCGATTCCAAGATAACGACAGCTTTGGCGACTTTAGGGTGCAGCAATTTCGACGATGACGACTTCAACATGCTTTCAAAAGCGACCCCAGCAATGGTACTGTAAGAATAAGCGAAGCCTGTCCATATTTATGATTCAAAAAAACGCTTATGTATATTGGAAATGAACAGATTCGAAAAAAGGTTAAAATTGTATATGTATCTTATCTCCAATTTTTATTATTGTAGATCACTGGTTCTTATGCGGATCACGAATTAAGTTAGATCGTGATCCCATAACCACATGATATCACAAAATCAAATTTATAACCATAGTAATATCTAACAAACGAAGTAACGTAAAAGGAAAAAGTGACTAAATCACCAGAGAAAAAGAAAAAAGACACTTATCTGAGCTCAACACTATTGCTACCAACCCAAATAATCCTAGTTACTTAGACCAAGTCTTTCCACACCTTTGATCATTGCCTTATCAATATTAGGGTTTGGTAAAAGTAGTTATAGTGTTTGTGTTAAAGTATTCTACTTAGTGTTGATATTTTGTGTAGTGAGTTATTATAGAGTAACCCCATAATATTTCCAATGCAGCTCACCAAGTTACACTCTCACAATACACATAGACAAACACAGACAAAAATAGCATGGATTATAGATACTTCGACAAATAATCTTATATGGGAGTTAGTTGATGCAGATCATAGTAGACTGAAGAATAATTAATAGTTATTGGCTGCTTCACATCCAATAACTATATCATATCCACCAATTTGATTTTACCCCAAAATTAGCCAATCATAATCGAGAATTATTTGTTATTAAAACTTATTACAAAGTAAGTTTTTACAACAATGGTCTTTTAAACTTACTTTAATCTATAATTAAGTGTATAGAATATTTTAATATTTACATGTTTAATTATTAGCTGAAAGTAAGTTAAAAAGGT